CCCCTCCTCCTCCTTCCCCTCCTCCTCCTCCTCCTCCTCCTCCTCCCTCTCCTCCTCCTCCTTCTCCTCCTCCTCCTCCTCCCTCCCCCCCCTCTTCTCCTTCCCCCCCCATGCAGGGCCGGAAGGAATTCGTCGACGGCGCCGACCAGCTGGTGCGGGAGGTGGCCCCCGCCGCCGGCGCGGGGCGGCAGAGGGGCGGGGCCTCGGGCGGGAGCGGCAGGAGCGAGGAGGAGGGAAGCGAGGATGATGAGGAGGAGGCGGAGAACGAGGAGGAGGAGGACAACGAGGAGGAGGAAGAGGAGGAGCAGGAGGAGGAGCAGGAGGAGGAGGAAGCCGAGGAGGAGGGGCAGGAGGAGGAGGGCGAATGAGGACGGCGCCTCGGCGCGCTCCGCGCGGCATGGCAGGGGGGTCAGCGCCGATCCGCGAGGGCCGCGCGGGCCTCTCCAGGTTCTGGTGCTGCAGCTGCGTCCTCCTGGCGGCAGCCAGCGCGTTCAGGAAAGCGAGGCGGCGGCGCCGCGGGAAGGAGGCGATGGCGAAGGCCAGCGTGGTCAGCTGCTGCGGGGAGGCCCCTGTCAGCTCCAGCGTGGGTAGCGCGGCGACGAGCCCCGCCAGCAGGCGGGCTCTAGAGAGCACTGGTCGTTGGCGTGGCGATCGCCCCCGCGACACCGCGAGCGCATTGGCGGGCAGTCCGTGAATGGGCCCGCTCTTCCCTCCGGGGTGGCTTCTCGGATGGTGTCCAGAGGGTGCGGCTGGCAACTCTGCTCGTCGCTTGTCTTCTCTTGAGTGTTGTGTGTCGCCCTCGCGGCCTGTCTTTGCACGGAACTGGGGGTCCGTGCAGTGATCTCGCCGGCGGCGAGCACAGGGGGGAAGTCAGAGGGGGCGGGTCCTCCTCAGAAGCCTCGGAAGGCCTCCAGCCTCCCGAGAATCTGCCTGAGCCTTCTCCAAACGCAGCGACGGCTTCTCAGAAGGCCAGATTGCTTCTGAGAAGCCCCGCCGCCTCCTGAGAAGGCCTGTCCCCTCTGACGTCCCCGGGGCTCGCCGTCAAACTTGTTTCGGGCATGCCGCTCTCGCCGGCGCGTCCCGAGCTCTTCTCCGCGCGTGCAGTCTCCGGGCCCCGCCTCCGTCCTGCCAGCCTCGGCGGCCGCGGGCGCGCCCTCTGGCGCAGCCCGCCCGCGGCGGCCTGCGGCAACGCCGTTGCCTCGAGATGCGGCGGTGAGGGAGTGGCTCTGGGCCTCCCAAGTGAGCAGCCCCCCAAAAAACAGGTCTCAGGCGAGACGACGTAGCGGCCTCTCTCGGTGGCTCACGCGCCGCGCCAGCGCGGCTCGCCACACTGGAGGCGAGGGCGCCCACGCGCGGCCACACGCGGGCAGCTTACGCGCGAATGTTGGTGAAGACGGCTCCGATTTGTTGCGTCGGTGAAATTGGGTCGGAGGATCGCGCTGCATCGGCGATGCATCGGCGATGCAGCTCGATGTGGAGCCCGATGTTCTCCACAACGACGGAGGATCTCCGGTGCATGTCAGATGCATCGGTTGGTTTCCTACTGACCCCGGTCTGGATTGACCCGGGTCAGAAGATCCCCGACCGGGGGGCACGCCCGAGGACGGCGGGGCACGCTTCGAGGCTCACTCACCGCAGCGGTGCTCTTGATGCAGTCGAGGCAGGCACGGCCTCCGCCCATGCCCGTGTGGGAATCCGCAGGGCGATCCGCAGCGTGGGAGAACGAGAGCACGCACATGTGGAGACTTATCAGTAGGCCGACCCTGCGAAAGCGTTGGTAACATCAGTGATTTTGGCTTCCTCGCCGAGGCCGTTTTGGACGCGCTGACACCTCCCCGCCCCCCCCCGTGCAGGTCCATGGGGAGGGGTAGGGGGAGGGGTAACCCCTCCCCGACGGGGAAGAGGGAGGGTGGAAGAGGAAACGCCCTAAACCACCGACGCCAAGAGGGCTGGTGGGATTAGTAGGCCGACCCTGCGAAATCAAGGGTACCCTTGTGTCCTAAGCTTCGCGACCCATGTCTTACAAGGCTTCTTACTGGTCTTCTTGCAGGTGCCTTCTCACAAGCCTTGTGGGCTCCTTCTTGCGAGTCTTCTTGCAGGTGCTCCGCGGTACCCGTGTGCCTTCTTGCACGTCTTACATTCCCACGGCAATGCGGCCCTCGGAAGGGTCCTGTGCCCTCTCTCATGCCCTCTCCGATCCGCCCCGACTGTATTGGCCGGGTCGTTTATCCAAGGCCCCTTGCCTTCGTTCCCGGCCGAGGCCCTGGCAGAATAATCGGGACGGTCGAAGTTCGGGGGCGGAAAAGAGGGGGGTGATGACTAGGGGGGGGGTGGATATCATGGCGTGGGCCATGATATTTCCCCTTTATTTCATGGCGCCTCTTCTTCTTTCATTACGTTCCTGGCCCCCCCCGCTGGGCCGCGCACATGCCGCCGGTCATGATTTGCACCCCCCCCCTTGGACACCCCCCTCTTGGCCGCTCCCGAGAAGTGGGTGCGCACAGGAACAAGGGGTGCGACGTCCAGCAGCAGTCCACCTGCTGATTCTGCACAGGCTTCGCTCGCCGTCGGCGTCGCCGCGGTCGTTGTCCATCTGAGAAAGGCGACCGCCTGCGCAACGGCGGCCGCTGTCGGTTTTGGACAGCATTCTCTGTTGGGCATCGTCCGTGCTGGTTTTCTTTGTCCACACAAGCGAAGTAACGCTTTCAATTCAACGCTTTCGATTCAAGTTGACTTAGGCTGTACGAAAGAGAGAAGAGGAGGACCATGTTCTTCCGATGTCGCTGCGCTTCCTTTTTCGCAACGGCTGGATTCGCCTCGAACTGCTGGTCAGAACGCCTCTGGAGAGGTCAGGTGAGTAGCGGTATCGGCATCCTTCTGTTCCCCCCAGTGGCCATTCCCCGTCACAGACAGCGATTTGTCAGTCTCTGGAGAGTCGTCGTTACCCTTGGCTTCCCCCCATTCCTTCCATCTGGCGTCGCCATCTGATGCCGGCCAGGATTTCCGCCACAGGAGGGGTCCCAGCCTCCATGGACCATCTGGAGCCATCCCCTCTGCGCCTCCGATCTCTCGTTGCCGCCATGGGGGCCGTGCCCTCTATCTATCTTGCCCTCGCCCCCTCCCCCTTTGCCGTTGCCGACGGACCGCAGAGCGCTGGGGGAGGGAGTGGGAGGGGGCCGGGGGGGAGTCGATCCTCGATCCTCGATCCTCGATCCTCGATCGTTGGGGGAGTCGATCCTCGATCCTCGATCCTCGATCCTCGATCGCTGGGGGAGTCGATCGTCGGTCCTCGAGCCTCCTCTGCAGGGGGTGGCCCTGGAAGGCCGGAGGCCTCTGGAGGCTGGGGGGGGGGGGAGCGATGGGTCGCCTTCGACGCTCGATCCCCCCGCCTGGAGAGGGGAAGCTCTGGGGGGCGGGCCGGGGCCGAGACGTTCAGGCACCTTCGGGAGCCTTGAGATGGGGGTCAATGCAGACGGGGGTCAGCCAGGGCGCCGGATCCTGCAGGATCCTGCGAAGACCCCCTCTAGCTGACCCGGGTTAGCGAGCCGCTCGTGGCCGCGAGGCGGCCGCGCACATTGGCCGACCCGGGTCTGCGAAGGCCTGCGTTGCAGTTTTTTTTTCTCCTGCATTGCAGCGTTTGGGTTCCTGCTGACCCGGGTCTGGATTGACCCGGGTCAGAAGATCCCCGACACCTCGGATCCTGGACCCTCCTCAGGGAAGGACCAGGCGAGAGGGGGGGAAGGGAAGCAGGGGCGGAGAGGGGGGCGGAGGTGGGTGCTGGGAAAGCAGGAGCGGGGGAACCGGAGGAGGTTCAGAGGAGGGGTCCGAGGAGGAGCGCGGACCACCGCCATCGAGAACCCATCGGGTACTGCGCTCGTCCTGGGAGTTGTGTCCTGTGCGGAGTGCCCGCGCGGGCGGCCGGGCGCGCCCGCCCGCCCGCCCCCGTGATGGGCTCTCGGTGGAGGCGCTCCCCGGCTCTCCTCCGGTGGCGGAGGACGGGCGGGAGTTGGTGCGGGAAGCAGCAGGCGCGGGGCGGAGTAGGAGGCGGAAGCGTGATGGCGAGGGTCAGCTGCAGGACGGGCATCGGTGGACGGAGGGGGGAGGATGGGGAGGAGGATGGTCGCGGGCACGGCTCCCTCGGCGCGCGGGTCTGCCCCGCGAGGTCGCGACGAAAAACAAGAGCGAGAACAAGACCGGCAACAAGGTCGGCATCACCAGCAAGGTGGAGCCCGAGGCGCTGGCCAGTGAGTCTGGGGTCGTGGTGGGCTTTCCAAGCTCGCTCTCAACAGCTTGCGTGCGTGCGTGCGTGCGTGCGTGCGTGCGTGCGTGCGTGCGTGCGTGCGTGCGTGCGTGCGTGCGTGCGTGTGTGTGTGTGTGTGTGTGTGCGTGTGTGTGTGTGTGCGTGCGTGCGTGCGTGCGTGCGTGCGTGCGTGCGTGCGTGCGTGCGTGCGTGCGTGCGTGCGTGCGTGCGTGCGTGCGTGCGTGCGTGCGTGCGTGCGTGCGTGCGTGCGTGCGTGCGTGCGTGCGTGCGTGCGTGTGGTTGTGTGTGTGTGCCGAAGTGAAGAAACGACACAAACATGCATTTTCGGAGCTCCGCGCGGATTCCCTGGACCGGCGCTGGGGCCACCCTGGCGGCTCTTCTGGCGCCACCCCTGGCGCGCCCCGCGCTCGCTCTAGGGCTAGACTCTAGGGTGGGGGGTCCAGCGCCGTTTCAAGGAATTTCTTGCATATCGCTGATGTTTTATGTATGCAGTGTTCTTTCCTCTATTGTCGTGTGTGTGTGTTTGTGTGTGTGTGTGTGAGTGTGTGTGTGTGTGTGTGTTTGCGTTGTCGCGGCCTCGTCGCTGCGCGCGAGGCTGTAACCGCCACCGTGTGTGTTGTGTGTGTGCTGTGTGTATGTGTGTGTGTGTTTGTGTATGTGTGTCTGTGTGTGTGTGTGTTTGCGCGCCCGACTGTGTGTGTGTGCCGGCGCGGGTCGAGGTCTTTGCCGCTCGTCTCTGCCGCCCTCCCGTCGCCCTTCCTTGGCCGCTCTCGTTCCGCTCTTCCTGGGCGGTACCTTCCCGGCCGTCGCCCCCACGCCCGCGCCTCGCAGGCCCACTGACCTCAGCGCTTCCCTTCCTCTCTGGCCCGTGCCTTGGTTCACTGCGTTGGGCGCCGCCCCCTCCCTGGACTGTGGTCGGTCACGGCCAGCTGCAGCCCCTGGCTGCCCCCCCCCCCCCCCAGCTTCTGTTCAGCAAGGTCCAGTACAGCCTGTGCCGGCGCTGCTCCCCCCCCGGCGCTCCCCCGCCGCTGCCGGCAGCTCTGACTGGCCCGGCTTCCTCTCTCCCCGTCGCGCCGGGGCTCCTCCTCCCCCTCCTCCTTCCGTGCATTGCGGCCCTAACTTGCATGCAGCGTGTCCCCTCTTGCCTACCCGCCGGAGCACTCGACCTTTGCGCAACCGCCGACGCAAAAAATGTGGGCGTGAACACATTGCAGTTTTGTTCGCTGTCACAAAAAACGCGGACCTGGGAAACCTGTCCCCTGCCGCCCCGCCGCGGGCGCTACGGTTCGCCGCGGCGCCCGTGGCGGGGCAGGCTGGGTCAGGTTGGGGGGGTGAGTTTTGGTTGAGGGCTCGCTTCAGGTTTTCCTGTATTTTGTGTTCCTCGTCTTGTTCGAGCTCGCTATTTCCTTATTTTTCCCCGCGGTGGGGGGAGGGTAAACATACTCCCGCGTCTGCGCGCACCGCCTCAGTGCGGGCGCATCGTCGGGCCGGTGTGGCCCACTTGTCGAAAGGAGAGCTTGACGCTGGCGACGTGCAAAATATTGCATTTGCATTGCAATGAAGGGCGGATTTCGCGCGGTGCCACCCCGAGGGATGGAAGAGGACGTTCGCCGCGCCATAGAATGGGAAACGCCCGGGGATCACGCAGAGGCGATGCGGCTGCGTGAGAATCTGTTATTATGCCTGGAGACGTGGGGACAAACTTTGCAACGAGACGGGGCTGTAGAACAGTGGTTTGCTGGCGCGGACGTCGCGACGCGAGCCGCGTCCGCCGACGTGAACGGGCCGCTTCTAGCCGCCCTGTTCGACATGACGGGCTACGATCGCACAGGCGCGGCTGGTCCGTTCCGTCATGGTGCGCCTTCGCATGGAAAATGGCTGCACTCGGTCAAAGGCCGTGTTTGCGCGCCCTTGAGTGCGTGCGTCGGCGCGGGTCGAGTTCCTGGCTGGTTGTCCCTCCCGTCCTCCCGCCGCTCTTCCTCGGCCGCTCTCGTTCAACTTTTCCTGGGCGGTGCCTTCCCGCCCCCGCGCCCGCGCCTCGCAGGCCCATTGGCCTTGGCGCTCCGCTTCCTCTCTGAACCGTGCCTTGTCTCACTGCGTTGGGCGCCGCCCCCATCGGGTGCCCTTCCTCTGCTCGGCTCTAAGCCGTTCGGCACCTGCTTCTGACGCTCCGCGCTCTGTGCCGCCCACCGCCCCTCCTTGCGCCCGCGGCGCATCGCCTGCTGCCGAGGCTGGCCCGCATGGCCTCCTCCCTATCCTTGCGCCTCGCAGGCCCGCCGGCCTCGGTGTCTGGCCCCTCCCTGGATTGCGCTCGGTCACCGCCAGCTGCAGCTCCGGGCTGCCCCCCCCCCCCAGCTTCAAGTCAGCGCAGTTCAGTGCAGCCTGTGCCGGCGCTGCTCCCCCCCGGCGCTCCCCCGCTGCTGCTGGCAGCTCTGACTGGCCCGGCTTCCTTTCTCCCCATCGCGCCGGGGCTCCTCCTCCTCCTTCCGTGCGTTGCGGCCATAATTTGCATGCAACGTGTCTCCTGTTGCCTAATTACCCGCCAGAGCAGACTTCTGCCCAGCCGCAGACGCAAACGTTGTGGGCGTGAACACAGCGCCGTTTTGTTCGCTGTCACAAAAACACGGACCCGGGAACCTTGCCCACTGCCGCCCCGCCGCGGCCGCCACGCTTCGCCGCGGCGCCCGTGGCGGGGCAGGTTGGGTCAGGTTGGAGGGGGGTGAGTTTTGGTTGAGGGTTCGCCTCGGGTTTCCGTGTATTTGGTGTCCCTCGTCTCACTCGCGCTGAATGCTTCCTTGTTTCTCCCCGCGGTGCTTGTGGGGGGGGTAGAATATACTGGCGCACAGCGCCGCAGGGCGCGCGCGTCGTCGGACCGCTGCGGCCCACTTGTCGAAAGGAGATCTTGGCGCTGGCGACGTGCAGAGAATAGAATTCATCAACAATGCAATGAAGGGCGGATTTCGCGCGGCGCTTTCCCGAGGGATGGATGAGGACGTTCGCAGCGCCATAGTATGGGAAGCGTTCGGGGACAACGCAGCGGCGATGCGCCTGCGCGACAATCTGTCATCGCGCCTGGAAGCGCGGGGACAAACTTTGCGACGAGACGGGGCTGTAGAGCAATGGTTTGCTGGCGCGGACGTCGCGACTCGAGCCGCGTCCGCCGACGCGAGCGCGCCGATTCTGGCCGCGTTGCTCCACGCGGCGGGCTGCGGCGACGCAGGCGCGGCGGATTCGTTCCGTCGCGGCGCGCCCTCGCTTGGAGAATGACCTTGCTCGGGCAGAGGCTCCGCGAAGATGTTCCCAGCGCCTGCGTCGTCCGAGGCCTTGTTGAATTCTTCCTTCGAGCACGACAGATCTGTCCTGCCATCTCTGCGGAGGGGGCGCGAACTCGTCTGCAATCCGCGATGGCGCGTTGGCCGGCGCGTCTGTTTCGCGGACGACCGCTCCTGTTCTCGCGGCAAATGTGGAACCCGACAAAGTGCGTCTGACGCCGAGATTCTCATTATTACAGGAGTTCAAGCCCGATGGTGCGTCTAAGATCAGCGTCGTGGATGACGAGTCCAGAGGAGGCATCAACTCGGCGTGTCAGCCGGCCGAGATGTTGTCGCTGGACGGGGCCGACATTCTAGTTGACGCTCTGCGCTGCTACCACGATCGGCGCGGCATTGCACTGGCGCTGTTCAAGGCCGACATCGGCCCCTTTTACAGGTGCGTTCTCACCGCTTTCACGCGCAGGTTCCCGCGTTTCCTCGGTTTTCGAGTTAGGCGTTGCCCGTGGGCCTGTGCGTCGGGTTCAGGAGGGCCCTGCCCCAGCTTCATGTCAGGAGAGCCCCGGCGCGCGAGGCGTCGATGTCGGCCGTGTTCAAGTGGGCCGCCCACAACGCGCGTGTGCACGACGTGAACACTTGGGTCGCTGGCCATCTCGCGATGACGTTCGGCGCGCTGGCTGCCGTCTTCAGGCGGGCCCGAGCGGGTGCTGCCTCGTCGCTGCTGGCCCGCGAGTTCTTCAAGATTCCTGCCCTCCGATGCGCGGGCGATTTCTTTAGTCCGTGTGCACCTGCAACAGAGCGGCGCGCCATGGAATCGCTCGCCCGACTAGCGCGCTTGCTCCTGGGCCCGAGGTTGGTTCCCGACGAGAAGATGGCGTGTGGCCACGAGCTCGAACTTTTCGGCCTCCACGCGCCATTTTCTCGCAGTGGGATCATTTTGTTTCCCGCGCCCAAGAAGGCGCGGCAGGCGCTCGACTGCGGGGCGCTGCGCGCCGGCCATGCCAGCGAGTTGGCCGGCGCTCTCAGGGGCAGCATTGTTTCGCGAGGCTCGGGCGTGCGATGTTGCAGCCCCTCTTCGCGCGGCAGAGTGCGCGTCGCGGCGTCGTTCGCGCGCCGCTGAATCTGGCGCTATCATGGTGGCCGGAGGTGCTGGTCCTCGGCGTCCATCGCGCCAAGCCGTGGGCGCGGCTGGAACGGCAGGAAGTGAATTTGTTCGCCGATGCTAGGGGCGGGTCCGAGCCGCGGTTCGCCGCCGCATTATTCGTCGATGGATGCGCCTTTTGGTCTGATGCCCCTCTAGACGAAGAGCTGCTGATCGACTTGGCACCGCGCGAGGATTCCCAGGTCATGGCGCCTGAGTTACTCGCAACGGCGATGGGTGCAGCCACCTTCTGCGAGCTGTCGGCGGAGCGCGGAGTTGCGATCTGGTCTGGCAGCGCGGGCGCAAAAGGGCAGCGCGGAGCGGTCGCGCCTCTGCTTGGGGCCATTCGCGCATCATTCACGCGATGTGGTTTCTCATTGCGCGCGCCAGTTGCTCGCCGTGGCTTGCGCGGGCCCCGTCGGCGGAGCATCTTGCCGACCTTCCGTCGCGAGAAAAGTGCGAGTTGATGCGTTTGCTCGGAGCGGGCGTCGCGGCGCCGCGATTGCGCGCGGCGGAAATTTTCGCCCCAGAGACATTTTTAGCCCGTGCTGACGGCGAGAGGCGACGCCGGCGAATGGGCCGCC